GAACTCTTGAGGATTTTGGTTGATATTGAATTGGAAGCTTATATTAGGGAGGAAGTTGAAGAATTTTGTTGTGGATTTTGTTGATTGGGACATAATTGTGCTTGTTGATTGATTTTTGTGGATTTTAGAGAATTAAAATCATCATTTTGACAAGAACACGCTCGGGTTGCACACCAAGTGTTCGACAAAATTACTCAACGAACTTGGGAGCTTCAAACCAAAATTTGTCGTGAATCAAAATGACTCCTAAGGCATCCTCGAAGGCAAAGGGTAAGGGAATAGACACCGGAAGGCCTCCGAAGCGGATTACAACCGGAATTCACATCCGGGAACCACAAATGGGATCAAGCATTCCTCCTGTTGCTCATACACTCCCCGTGGCTTCTAATGCACCTCAATTGGCGATACCAGCTGGGTATCCTTGAGTTTCTGCTATAGGGAAGATTGAATTTACTCAGGATCACTTCTTCAATGAAGATGCATGGAAGACTTTCAATAGCATCTACAAGGATGGACCGAAAAAGATAGAGAGGAATGTACTTCTAAACAAGCTTAGGGACAGCACCGGAAAGAAGCTTGTAGAGTATATCGAGACGAACAAATGGCTCTTCTTCACAAGGATGGATGGCAATTTTTCTCCCGATATGATTCATTATTTTTATGCCAACATCAAAGAGGCCAATCTTCAAGATAACAAGTTTGTTGTAGCTCTTTTTGGAATTGATTATCATGTCAATGCTGAGGTTATTGATGACATTCTGGGATTGGATCTTGTTCATGAAGATGATGGATTGATTATTCCAGTTGAAAGATCGGAGCTGACTACCTCATAAATTCATGACGTTATATGTGTCTCAGGATCTCAAAAAGAACCTTGCTTTATACCATCTCGCCATCTCACTGATGAATCCGCACTTTTTAACAATTTTAACATGGCCAATCTTGGGTCTTTTGGGAAGAAGGTTGAGATCACCTTGGAACGGGCTCAAGTTCTATATTTTTTGGCAATGGGAGCTCTAATTGAGCTTAGTTCATCAGTAGTGCGGACCATGAGTCTTCATTACAAGAATAATTCTCGCAAGCATGCTTCTCCATTCCCAATTATTATCATGGAGTTCTATAAGAAGAACAACATAATGATTCCACCACGACCTTATCATCAGAAGATAATGATGGAATTGGATCTCCGTGCCTTGAACAAGTCAAGACTGCTCGAGAAAATGCTAGGAAGGCCCAAGGAGATTCAGTTGCAACTTCTTCTCGTAATCCGGATTTCGACAAGCTCTTCACCACTAAGGGCAACTTCACTAAGGATGACACCAATCTTTTGTTTGCCTCTTTACTTCAAAGTGATCGTGCTATTCTAGATAGAGTTCACTCTTTGGAGAATGAAGTAAGAGAGCTACGGGCTGAGATCAAGGTACTTAGAGAGCAGCAGGCGGGTATTACCGAGGATGTTTATAAACCCGCACCCCCAGAGACTTCTAAGAGAGCTGTTGATGATAATGAGGATGACTTTGATGATGACAGTTCGGAGGGTGATGATGGAGATAAGATTGTCACAACCCTAGTTTCATTTGATGGGGATAATTCATTTGGAGATCATTTGTTTTGTTTTGGAGGCTGACAACTTTCTTTTTTTTTTCTTCTTTTTTTTTTCCCCAATTTTGGATATTTTGGTTCATAATGTGTGCTTACATGTTCATACATTCATATGCATCATGATTAAGATGATCTTTCTGCTTATGTTCTTGAAACTCATTTTGACATAAATGACTTGATCTTGTTAAATTTGGATGCGGAAATAAGAAATGCAAATTGGAAAAGGTAAGAAAGAAGAGAGAAAGATGGAGAACACAGGCATATACATAGTTCGGCACGAACGCCTACATCCATGGACAAAGAGCCACTAAAGGCTACAATTCTATTATTCAGATCTGTATATTGCTCGAGTACAAAGAGCATGTATATAGGCATGGTAAAGATAAGAAAAAAATGAAGGTGTACAATAGTCGAAGAAGGCACCGTGGTTGTTGGAGGATTTTGCTCCACCATTATATAGAAATATTTATAGTTGAAAGGAAATTGACCGGATCACCGTGATTGGTGGAGGATTTTGCTCCACGATTATATAGAAATATTTATATATTTCAACAGATCTGTTCTTTTGTAATCTACTCCCTGCGTTTTTCTATATGACTTGATGTGTTTTATCTTCTACCGTTGTCAATTTGTTCCAAAAAGGGGGAGAATTATTGTGACTTTCACATTCAGGGGGAGTTGATATTTAGGGGGAGTTTAATCACTAAAGTTGTTTTGTCTGGATTTAGATGATCTTTCTGCTTATGTGCTTGAAATTCTTTTTGACATAAATGACTTGATCTGTTCTTTTGTAATATTCTCCCTGTGTTTTTCTATATGACTTGATGTGTTTTTATCTTCTACCCTTGTCAATTTGTTCCAAAAAGGGGGAGAATTAATGTGACTTTCACATTCAGGGGGAGTTGATATTTAGGGGGAGTTTAATCACTAAAGTTGTTTTATCTGGATTTAGCTTTCACTGGTTTTTTTGCTTAATCTTTGTGCAGAAAACAGGTTGAAAGAGTTCATTGAGATGATCAAGAGCAGTTGAAAGATATTCATATTCAAGGGAAACATTCCGTTATTTATTTCTTTGACAATTTGTAATCTTCCTTTTCTGCTTGGGTAGGTTATATATTTGTTTTTAGGGTTTTGTCACGAAATTGCTAAAAGTGGGAGATTGTGAGATATAAAATTTATAATTGGCGATTTCATTGTCAAAACAAGTCCGATCAAGTTGTAATTTTAAGTTCAAATTTCAAGTTCAAGATCGGAAGCGGAATTGAAGAGTTGTTCGTGATCTGACGACATCGAAAAGGGTAAGAACAACTCTTTAGGAAGCTTAACTAAAAGGGAAGGACACTTACATGTTTTCGAAAAATTAGCGTTGCCAAATTTTTTTAAGTATATAGCCTTCAGTTCAGGTCTGGCCAACTTGAACTGGTTCAAAAGCTGCTGAACCTGTTCAAGTGTTAAAGCTTCGTTTTTAAAATAACACACTGGCCAACTTGAGCTGGTTCAAGTTCTACAGCAGATTTTGGTAACTTTGTTTCCTACTCTGTTTTAACTTCCTATTCTGTCTAGACTTTCTCCTAAAAGCTTATGCACAAAATTGACTTATTTTCCAAGTACAATTAGGGTTTCAAAAGTCTATAAAAACATATTTTCTCACTTAGGGTTGTGTGGCTTTTTGCATTAAAATTGTGATTTTCATTAAGAGCCTTTTTGTGATATTTTTAAGAACACACACACACGAGTGAATTAGGGCGTAGTTCAAAATCCTGATCATGACTGAGCTATTGAAGATTGCATGTACAACGAGCAGAGAAAACAGATTTTATTTCTTCTACAACAAATTCAGATTCAAATAAAAAGAATTTCCGATTACACTTTAAAGGGATCAAGGCGCTTGCGGAGTGTTGTTGATCTACCAGCAATCATTCTACAAGGTTCGAGGCATAAGTCTGAAGTGGAGAGCTGTTGGACAGGAAGTCGCAAAGCCAAGGGCGTTCAGCGGATTGAGCCTTGGTAGAGTGAAGGGGTTTGAGTTTGAGTCAAAGTTCAATGTACTTTGCTTCATACATAGTGGATTAATTTACGCTTAGGATAGGGCACAAAACCTCGAGCTTTTCCAATTGGTTTCCTCACTAAAATCCGGTGTTACTCTGACTTTACTTTCTCATTATTTTATGTGTGATTGCTAATTAACCGGTAATTTTAGTAGAGTAAAAATTGGATAAAGAAACACATGATTAATCCCTCTCTAAAACAGTTTTTAAAACTCAATTTTCCACAACCTATTCCGCTGCACAACTCACAATAGAAAACCTCGCATGGTCATGAGACAACAAATAGCTAGGGAATTTTAAAGATATTTCCATTTTGGTACCAAAGGCCTAACCCAAGTGGTAACTCCTCCTCCCAGATATTTAGTTACGGGTGCAAGTCACCATTTTGATAATTGTGGATGTGTCTTACCTAGCAAGAAAAAGTAAAGAAATGCTATTACCTTCTTTAAGAAATGGACCAAACATATGGTCCAATCAGAAAAAGAGAACTTCTCGGTCAACAATTTAAGAAGGTGAATTAAGTGGAGGACAAAACCTGGTAAACAAAAGAGAAGGCAGAAATATTGGTATGCTTTGGAGGAACCAAACAATAGATAGAGACAGAATTAGCAGAACTAATTAAAGTAACATAGACTCAGCCACACTAACCACAAAGGTGTTCCTCATTTAAAAATTCACCAAGTAGCTTCAATTATAAATACAAAAGCATTCAAATATATCTACTGATATCATTTTTGGTAGAGATTGATTTCTGTATATAATCAGCCAAACATGCATTTCAATTATAACATACCGGCATATATAGACGCTATATATGTTCTTTAGTTCAGTATATATATAGATTCAAATTTAATTCAACAGAGATAGAGGGGGTGGTTGTGTACCTGGGGTTAAAGGACCACCTTGTTGGCATAGAAGGGGACTGAGCCTCCAGCTTCGTTGTAACGATGATTGAAAGCATCTGAACTCATTTTGGATTGCACTGCAACATTATTAGCATGACAATGGCGATGAAAATAATCTCCATTGGTTTCTCCAATTTTCTCTTCTTTTAGAGAGAATTTAATTTACATGATTTAAGAGCACATGAGACACATGAAACCTCAAATAAACTTAATTTCAGAAAAGAGAGAATGAGGAAAGAAAGAAGAAGAAAAAGATATTTTACTTTCAATTGGTTGTTTGACGAGAACAAACTAAATAGAGAGCTAAGAGATGAATTTGTTTTTAATTTGTTGTATTCTCAACTTCTCGAATAAACTTAATATTCAAATCACTCCTCACTTTGGAAGACAACAAAGATTTTAAAAAGAAAAATAATTTGCAGGATTGTTGCTTGATGTAAGAAAGTTTTGGCAAATATGAAGGGCATCCATGTAAGAAATTTCACCAGTTTTTCCAAATGCAACGATTTCTATAGATGAATGATTTAAGAACTTTTCGGCCAACTTAACAAGACATCAAGGCTGATACTTTCTCCCTTAAATTGAAGACACCATTGTACTCTACTCTTGTTAGCGTAAGACATTGGTGGTACATTTACTCTCCAGTCTCCACTCAAAATGGAAAATATGCATAAAAAAAAAAAAAAAAAAACTTAACGTGTTCTAACAGTCTATGCCTAAAGCTGAAACATTACATTGCCTTTTACCCTAAATATACATCTTATTTCTAACCCTTTCTAGGAATCTGCTTGTTCTGGCTGTTGGAAGGAATTATCAGAAAAATGTGTGATGGCTAATTGGTTTTTGCCAAAACTTTCTTGCATGAAGCCTCTAGTAAATGCCTCCCTTGCTAATTTACCTGGCGGAAATTCCAATGGCAGACAAGAGATATAGCTCACTTTATCTCATCCTTTCAAGCCTCATAAAGCATTCCAACCTCAATACGCTGTGGTAGTGGCACGCTCATAGTAGGCAGCGCAGATCTACAATTACCGTGCATAACCTCATAGAATGCAAGCATGAATCTGTCAAACCAGCTACAGCTCTTTCCTATGTGAAACCTTGTCTTCCCCCGAATGTGAACCACACCAGCAAGCTTTGCCTCTTCCAGATCAGAAATCTCTCCTTCAATCTCTGGAGGAATTGATGGTACAAAGCCAGAGCTTTTCTGTATATAAGCTTGCAAGCTATCAGTGACTTGACTTACAAGGTCATCTCCTTCAAGATTAAGAGAATCTGCATAGCCATACTGAATCACACACCCATAAACCCCTTTGAGGCCCAGTTTGTTGACAATGATCCTCTCGTGCGGGGCAACTTTCGGAACCAACAAGTAGCGCAGAGTCGTGAAAATAGTTACCTTGTGAAGAGATTTCATGTTCTTTATATAATGTCCAAGAATTGGTGTTAGCCCATCTTGGATGTTGGTGTAGAAAAAACAAATTCCAGGGACTCTTTGGACAACCGGATTAGCCAGCAACATTCCAAGTCTTTCCAAGTCTATCTTGTGGGTTAACTCATACTCTAACTTTCTCTGCCTCCCATAAAACCATCCAAACATAATGAATGCAAGGATAAAAGAAATGGCAAATGGAATCCAGCCACCTTCTGGAATTTTGGTGCAAACAGCACTTACATAGACGCCCTCCATCACAAAGAATATAAAGAAGTAAAGGGCAACCAGCATTGGTGGAGTTCTCCAAATCATTATCATGACCAGTGTCAGCAGTATAGTGGTTATGAGCATGACCAGACTAACAACAACACCTGTTCACATCTTAATCATTAGTGGATGCATTGGAATAATAATATATAAAGGTCAAACAAGATATGAACAGAAGATGTAGTTGCAAAACAATCTTTGGGCAGCATCAGTGACGGACCCAGAAATTTTATTGGGAGGACAGCTATTAAAGAATAAAAAGATTAAAAAAATATTGCAAAGATAATTTTTTTTTTAAAAATAATAAAAAATTAATTAATTAATTTAGATTGATAATATTTCCGTTTGTCACATTAACAATTTTTCTCAATGAATTTTTATATTAAGTAAAATTTTCATATAAAAGTTAAGAAAAAAAACTATGTACAGTTAAGTAACACCATTATGTAATTAATATTATACAATCAAATGTATGCTTGAATTCTAGTGCATCTCTTAGGCAGTTAGAGGATTAAGTTAGATCTAAAAATATCAGTGGGGGCAGATTTATAAATTGGAGTTTTTTCATAATTTATGTGGCGGCATTTACAAAATTATAGGTACATAATGCAAATAAAAAATAAATCCAGTGGGGATGGCCGCCCCCACTGGCCACCACATAGGTCCGTGCCTTGGCAGCATCATGCACTTTGTTGCTAACTGGCATAATATATTTAGTGAATAGTAGAACATCCACTAAATTTATCTTCAGAGCTTTTCATCACTAAATTAATTATACATTGGATGTTGACTGAAGAAAGAAAATAAATAATTTTGTTAAATTATACTACGAACTCTACCGATATATATATAATAATGATACAACAAGATTGATTACCACAATCCACAGAAATATAAAGCCACTGCATTATACTAATAACTCTACCAATTATAAAGATAATAATGATACAACAATATTCATCATCATCCTTGCCTTTATCCCATACAAACAGGGTCGGCCACATGAATTCTGTTTTTCCACTCTTTTTTATCATAAGCCATATCTCCAACTAAATTTAATTTTTTAAAATCATTTCGTATCACTTCATTCCATGTTATTTTCAGCCAACCCCTTTGCCCCTAACCTTCTGTGCAAATAAATTTTTCTCTCCTTACGGGTGCAGTGATACAACAAGATTGATTACCACAATCCACGGTAATATAAATCCATTGCTGAGATGTCATATCATAAAGACCATTCTATTCATATAACATAGAGACAAGATTATAGAACTGGTAAGAAATTTCATAGAAGTTCTATTTAAGAGTAAAGAAGGTGAGGATGCAGGGTAATTAGTTTATCATACCAAAGGCATTTCCGATATCGTTCCCGTCTCCGAAAATAAGTATGACAGCAACACAAAGTATCATGAGTATGTAATTGATTTCTGGGGAGTATACCTCGCCTTCTTTGCTGGAGGATGTGTGCACTACCTTGACCCTAGGAAAATAATCTAGTACAACAGATTGCTTGATAACAGAGAAGGTGGCCGATATAAGTGACTGACTCGCAACAATTGCTGCCAGTGTGGCTATGACAAACATTGGCCAGTATATTGTAGTTGGTACAAACTTGTAAAACCCATCATGATGATCGTTTGGGTTCTTGATCAGGTATGCTGTCTGCCCCGCATATGTCAGAACCAGTGATGGATAAATCGTGAATAAAAAGGCTATCTGTTGACAAGGAAGGTGTTACGAAAATAACTGTATAAAAGAGACAAATGTAGACCCACAAGAAAGTGAGATAAGGACACCACCTGAATGGAACTCCTGTTGAAATGACCAAGATCAGCAAACAATGCTTCAGAACCTGAATAGATGACTACAAATGTCAAGTGTTGTAACAGTGTTTTGTGTTGTAATAATGTTTTTTCCCGCTGTCAAGTAGTGTTTTGAAAAGGAAAAGATAAAGGAATTTGGCATGAATGAAAATGCAAGCAGATCTAGGCCATTGAATAAGGTCTAACTAGTAGATTCTTCCAGAAAATTAACTAAAGAATTGAACCCAACCTTATCATGCATAAATGTCTCTCTTGATCATCATCCTTTATTTATTTTTTTCTTTTACTCTTTCTGAGTACATATTTTGGACCATCTATTTCACAGCCGTCAATTGGTATAATTATCAATTTTTTAGAATTATCTTGTCAGTCTACCTTCTGACTCATTAGGTTTCCATTATCCCAAAGCATATAGGAAACTTGAAGTGCCAATTCTTCTGTCTTCACAATATAGCAATATATGTCAATAACCAAAGAACACGTGACCATTTTCCTTGGATTTCTGCCAATATTTGTTTTCTCGTTGTGGCTTTTAGACATTCTTTGCAGTTTTCACTTTACATTAGCAAGACTTTTAAATTCTAGATTGCAAGAGAATTAAAGCTTCCATTTTATGTTATCCATTATGTGATAGGATACAAATATGATACTCACCGGTGATACAAAGGATGGTACCACCAAGCAACAGCCAGCCTTCCTTTCCATTTCTCAAAAAGAATTGGATAATGTAGTGCGGTGATAATGCCTTGAATATGCTTGGGTAATGACAGATAATGCTATAAATCCCTAAAAGCGGTGTAGTGAAGGTCCATGCACCCATGATGGGTGAGAAAAGGAAACTCACTCGTGAGGTACCAAATTTTTGCAGCAGGAACAGAACAATAAGAGTGATTGCAGAGAGGGTTTCAACCAAAGCTGCAAGTTCAATTCAAGCAAAATTGTGAGCACAGACTGAACATTGTATGAAAACTATACTTCTATATCAATGAATCCGTGAACATTCCAAATTCCTGAATGAAAGACAGGTCTGCTTGGACAAAGCCACAAGGCCTAGTCTCACACGGCTTTTTCACTTTCAGTTGCTACTATGATCTTAACCTCCATCTGCTTTGCTTTTAGATTTTGATTCTATCTGTTGCCACATGCTTGTACCAACTTTCAAAGGACATTTTGATGTCTCTTGAAAATTGAATTGGTAAAGTGTAATTCAGTGGCACTTGAAACATAGCATATTTTTTAGGAAGGACTTTGATTTATTTTTTTCTTTTTCCGTTGACACTTATTATTAAACTTAAAAGTATTTTGAAATCTCCTCATTCTTTCCAAGTAGTCAAAATTAAGCTTCATTGTGTTGGTATGGCAATGTCTTTATGTTAGGCCACCAACTTGTCTTCAAATGCTATGTAAAACAGAATCTTGTCTCATGATGGCATATTAGGGGTTGGATAGACTTACATTTACTGACAGAAGGAAAAGGTGCTCTGATGCCATCCATAGCTGATAAAACTGAACAAATTTTAAGGAAAATAAAAAATTGTTATGAACTATATCTTTAGAGGAAAAAAAAAAAAAAAAAAAGCTTGTAATTAAGTTAATTTTTTTTTAAGGAAAATAAGTATAAATAATTGCGGCAATAAATTGTAAGACAACAAACCTGATATTGCTGGAGTAAGTATACCATCACCAATTAGCATGCACATGCCTAGCATTGCAATAAAAAGCAACACTCTTCTAGCAACCACACTTTTTTCAAAAAAATTGGCGAGCCTACTCTGCTTTTCAGAACCTTCATACAAGTTAGCATGGGAAAGGCTTGAACTTGAATCTACGCGCTTGGAAGAAAAAACTCCAATATTCATATTCCTACAAAGTAATGAATATAAGGCAAATGTTCCACCTACAATGAAACATACTCCACGGGTCAAGAATCCATGGAAAAAGAGAAACAGATTGAAACAAGTTGCAGACTTGTAATTAAACTGAATATACTAACCACAGGAGAGAGAGAGAGAGAGAGAGAGAGAGAGAGAGAGAGAATATGCTCAGCCTTTTGACAACTACTCTACAAACCATCAATGAGAGCAAGAATTGAGATCATTTACCTTTAGTCATAGCAAGAAAGCAGCCATATCAAGTAAACAAGAATGCAGGGGCAGAGCCAGGAATTTTAGTGTTTTTTTTTTTTTTTTTTTGGGTGGGGGACTTATACTATGCAATTAAATTTGAATTATTTTAAATCAATTGTAATATAATTTTCTTTAAAGTATATAGTCATAGTATATAAACCTTGATAAAACCTTTTTTTTTTAAAATGCAGCATAAATAAACAGAAAAAAATCCATGTGAGAAAGAAATATATAAATGATGCAGGACAGAATTCTGAACAGTTCGACAAGTCTGTTTTTGACAAACCAATAGTGTTTTTTGGGTGGAAACGACGCATTGAGAAAAACCCACTAGCTTTAGCTTGTGGGCCATGCTGGTTTTCGGTTGAAAACCTTCGTTTAGGGCTCCGAAATCGCGTTTTACTGTGTTATAGGAGGTCTGCAGATTATCTCGGGATTTTTGTTCGAGACCTTAATGAAGTCGTAATGATCTGAGATTTGAGATTTAGCGTTTTTTATTATTAGGTTTCTTATTCTATTTTTTCGGATTTTTTTGAGAAACTTTATTTTTAAACTTATTTTTAGTGTTATTTTCCTTCTGTTATTAGATTTCTTTATGTTTTATTTTTCTTCTAGAGTTAGGTTTCTTTATATTTTAGTTTTCGTTAGGTTTTCTATTATTATAAATACGTGTTCTGCAAAGTGCAGAATTATAAACTTTTATTCAATCAATTATCAATACAATTATCAGATTTCTCTGAAATTATCCTTTGTTTTGTAGATTCAAAATACCCACCTTGTGGATTCAAGGTAATTTGTTCCTCGTGAACAAATTTATCACTTCCGCTTACGTCAGTTGGTATCAGAGCCTTGTCTTTTCCTGATCTGATGGCAGGTGATCATTTTCGTGGCAAGCTCGCTGGCGACATAGATCGACAGAGAGTGGCTCCTTTTAGGGCCGAATTTCAAGGCTATCAATGTAAAGGCGAACGTTGCAAGATATTCAAGCAACGATTGCTAGGTTTGAGTTGGAGCAAAATCGCGAGATCAATAGGGTGCGTAATGATTGCTAGGTTTGAGTTGGAGCAAAATCGCGAGACCAATAGGGTGCATAACGTTGACGAAGATCGCGTTCATCCTGTTCAGAATCGCAACCCCATCCTGCCGTGTAGGCAGCTAGCCTACGAGGATGAATTCAGTAATGATGATGATGAAGATTACACTAAAGACGTGTTTAGGGGTCTTAAAGACACACGAATATATTCTTATGATCCTAGGAATTTTCCTCCTAGTTTTGATGCTCTCTTTCATGTTGAAAATTTCCTGGATTGGCTAGTAGATTTTGAGAGGTTCTTTGATTACATGGAAATTAAAGAGGAAAATAAGGTGACGTTGGTCTCATACAAATTGGAAGGAATAGCTTTTAATTGGTGAGAACAATTGCGAGTTTCTCGTGCACGACAAAGAAAAGCACCGATACAATCTTGGTTGAAGATGAAATGTCTTTAGCAAGCCAAGTTTCTACCACCTTACTATGAGATTAATCATAAGAATAATTTTGTTATTCCACCTCTTGTTGTTGAAGTTGATGCCGTCAAGGAATTTAACGCTGCAAAAGAAGAAGATGGTGACAAGAAGTTTGACATTGAAAGCAAAAAATCTAAATCAATTGATGATGGGGTCAAAGAAAATTTTAAATTACATGTCCAATATGGTTTTGATGAATTTGAGATTTAAATTGGTGAAGGATCATTATTTGAACAGATTGCAAGTGAAGAAGTTTTTATTCAGAAATACACTAATGAAAATACTTTGGTGTTGTGCATTGGAGATTCTCATGGCAATGAACGATATGATTTTGTGGTAGGAAATAATTCATGTTATTCACAGCCAAACTCGAGGACGAGTTTTTTTGAAGTGGAGGGAACTGATGTAGGACAGAATTCTGAACAGTTCGACAAGTCCATTTTTGACAAACCAATAGTGTTTTTTGGGTGGAAACGATGCATTGAGAAAAACCCACTAGCTTTAGCTTGTGGGCCATGCTGATTTTCGGCTGAATACATTCGTTTAAGGCTCCAAAATAGCGTTTTATTGTGTTATAGGAGGTCTGCAGATTATTTCGAGATTTTTGTTTGAGATCTTAACAAAGTCGTAATGATCTGAGATTTTAAATTTAGTGTTTTTTATTTATTAGGTTTCTTATTCTATTTTTTCGGATTTTTTAGAGAAACTTTATTTTTAGACTTATTTTTAGTGTCATTTTCCTTTTGTTATTAGATTTCGTTATGTTTTAGTTTTCTTCTAGAGTTAGGTTTCTTTATGTTTTAGTTTTCGTTAGGTTTTCTATTATTATAAATACGTGTACTGCAAACTGCAAAATTAAAAACTTTTATTTATTCAATTATCAATACAAATATCAGATTTCTCTGAAATTATCCTTTGTTTTGGGGATTCAAAACACCCACCTTATGGATTCAAGGTAATCTGTTCCTCGTAACAAATTTATCACTTCCACTTACATCAATAAAGAAGAGGAAACATAATTTAGAAGTCAAAAAAAGAAGACATAAAGAAAAGGCATTGGTAAAGAATCAATTTTTCTTCAACAATTTTTTAAAAAAACATTTTGAGTACTTCGATGTCACTTTGAAAAAAATAAATCATTATTATCTTCATAAAAGATTAAGAATTTTAACTAAATTAAATTTTGCAAGTTTTAACAAAACAAGACTATTACTTTAGTAACATATACAACAAGACTCACCACTGGTGATTGCTATGTAATTTTAGATATTTCAGTTGTAAACAAAGTAAGACTAAAATGTGTGACAATAAAAGTTAATGCATTTATATTAAATATGAGGGTCATCAGTGTATTTTTCTCTCTTGAATTAATATACACGTGTTTATGAAAATATAATAATGATAAGTGGACTACAATAATAATGGCTTAAATTTATGTTTCATAAGATTTGGGCTTTCAAGAGTATGGTTAAAAAATATAGTCCAAGTTTAAAATGTCTATAAGTTTCAAAGGACACAAGTTAAATTAATTTTCAAACTCTCTATTTTGAGGCCAATGTACAAGTGTTTTGAAAAAATTGGGGGAAGGGGGTTGGGGCAATTGAAATTTTCAATGAATTTTAGAAACACAGGTTAAATTAATTTGTTGAATTAACTAATTTTTAGGGGTATTAAAAATTTTAAAAAAAAAAAAAATGGGGGGACATGCCTACCCTTGGCTCCACCCTTGTAAGAAAGGATCTAAAATCCATTATTGAAAAACCATAATAACGCACTTCAGTAATAATAAATTCAAAATCTATTGCTCGATAATCCTCTCTCCGAAATAGAACTTTTGAAACCTTGTACGCTCCAATTGAATGCTTTGTGTTTGAATTCCTCAAAGCTTCCCATCCACGAAGTTCTACTTATCAAACCCACTTCCATAGTGACCGAAGTTTAATCTGAATTTGATGTTCAGGACCTTGAACACAGGTAACGATTTATATAGAAAGGATAATGTGATCAAAAGCATGGTAAGCAACACAAAATTGCTGTACAGAAAGCATGACCCATATTGGGCACACAGAAAAGCCTCGGTGACCACAAGTAAACTTGTATCAACTAAACCATTGACTAGAAAGATCTATAGCATTGCAATAATATTTAAATTCAGAGAACTCCTTAGATATTTTTTTGGGAAAATTACAAGTTAGTCCTACTTTTGCACTCTAAAGATTAATAAGTCCTAACAAGAGTTTCATAGGAAAATTTAGTCCTCCTTTTCATAAAAATGTCCAACAAAGTTCTATAACTAACACATTTCCTCTCTTACCCTTTTCATATATTATATAAGTTGATTAACTAAATTTCTCCAAACACAGTTTCATTACGAATGAATGACTATGCTTCAAGTAATTACCCTAAAATCCATTATTGAAGTGACTTATGGCACCCTGCTTAACCTTATTTCTGTATTATGTAAATACTAGAAATCAATACCAAGGAATGCCTTCATATATTCTCCTTAGAAAAGAAAGCTGGTAGACATCATGAGGCTCTGGAGCTTGTTCCATAATCCAGTGTGTGGGGTTGACTGATAGTGGTTAATGTGGGAAGCAATTGCAATGCCATACCGAGACTTGAAGGACAAAAGAAGAGGGGAAGGGGGGGGGGGGGGGGGGTGGGGGGTGGTGGATTTGCTAAATTTTTTATTGAAAATAAATAATTTAAGAACGTTATATTTGATATATTAAGATATTTTGATAATTTTTTTATATACTCCCTCTATCCCAAAAAAAATGTTCCTTTTGGGGAACTGTGGCTCACAATTTGTTGATATATCAATGGCTACAATGTGACTTGAGGGAAATGGCGATGTTGTTTCTGTTAATGGAGATGTTGATGCTGATGATTGTGGATCACACTGATGACAACGAAGTGAGCGTCTTTTAGTTCCAGTTCAGAGATTGGAGGCTGTGGCCTTTGCTGATGGATTTAAAATAATTTGTTAAATGTTTAAGGATTGTTAATTTTTCTAATAATTAATGTTTTTTTAAAGAGGTATTAGTTACAAAATATTGAAAGTAGAGAGAATTTGTCTTTTGGTGAAAAGGCACTAATGAAAATTTAGAAACAAAGGGCAATACTGGAAAAAGGTTCATTCTTTATAGAATCTGAACTTATTTTAAAATATTTGTTAAAAGTAGGACTTCTTTGTCTTTGTAAAAAATTTATAGGACTTATTTGTCTTTAGTATTTAAAAGTAGGACTAATTAGTAATTTTCCCTATTTTTTCCCTTGAAGTTGTGCTCAATCCAAATGGAAATATACAATGTTTCTTCTTTGCCTTCTATTTATCATCAATATTTTTTCTTTCTTTTCTTTTCTTTTTTCATTTTGTTGGGGGGTGAGTTCTTATACTCCTGTATACTTATCGAGTTATTGTATCTGTTTTTCTTGACCATGGAAATGTTGCCCAGAAAAATAGGTTGCACGACAAAATTATCGAATACAAGTATGAGAGGATCAGTTCTGACCATAATGTAGTTGAAACAGAACATTGAAGGGAGCGAACAGTTAATAGATAGAAAAGTGAATTATGAAAAACAAGAGGAATGTGTTGATAAAACTTTGAGAGGACTTCATAAATTGAATAGAATAGAACACAATAAGAATGTCACTGCATTATCAAGAAGAAGACAATTATATATATATATACATATAACACACCCCATGCTACTTCTATAACATCCTCTAGACTGGGGAAGATGCTGCCCATAAAAACACTAACAGTATTATTTTTCTCATAAGATTAGGGCTAATGGTGGCTAGAGAGACAGTGGAGCAACAACAGAATAGATTACTGTCTTCTTGCTAAAGGGAAGAGACTGGCTCAGTTACAATAAACCTCAAACCTAGAGGGCTGTCTTCCTGCTATAAGTGCAAAATTCTCAACCTCCGTTATCTATTTGAAAACATACTAATAATAAAAAATTTTGTGCTGTTATGATGTCTTCTTAAAAAGCTGGTGAGGTGCATACATGAGAAATGAGTTTGAAGTTAAACTAGTGCCAACCACTACATGCATGAGAAAAGAATGCAAACTATAAGTTAAACAATTTGTATGATACAATACAGAATATAACATGTGAAATTGTATCATGTCACATTTAGAGTATTAATAGAAATTTTTTTTGGTGAAAAAAAAAAAAAAAATAGATAATCATGCAAATAGAACAAGATGGGCGAAGAGTCTGTATTTGAAAAAAAAAAAAAAATGAAACTAAGAAGAGTCTAAGTTCCTAAACCCTTCAAGAGTAATCACTGATTGCTTCACTAAAAAACCTACCTTTGATTGACTAACTTAGGAACCCAAGTCAGTAAAAAGATTATGGTCTAACTGGTATCCAAAACCTTATGAGGCATATTTGAGTATCTAATATAACCACCTCCACATTAATGTTACTCTGACCTTTACTTTTAGTTCCGACCTGCAGCCAAAATTTCTACATTGACGACATACCTTATCCCACAAGGCGATGAATATTATTGCCACCATGACATCCCTAAATTGTAACAAATGCCCAATTGACCAGGAATGTGTAAGGAAAAAACATCAAAGTTAAAACTTGATAACGCCACTAAAAGACGGCCTCCACTGTTAAGTTCAGCATTATCTAATATCTGACCATGCTTATGGCTTCACAATCTCATATGATGGAAGATACGTGCACGCTCAGGTTGTGGGGGGGAAGTATTATAATAAATTTTCCATCACCTCCATATAAGTTTTGCATAATTCTACCGTTTCTTTCAAGAAAAATGAATCATGAATCAGGCAAAAACATGGATCTCCAAAAGATCTTTCCCCTTTAAACCTCCAACCAATAAATGCAAATTTTCAAAATCAGTGAGGTTTGCAAAGGGGACACAGTCGAGGCCTACTAAGAACAACAGCCTTTCAACAAATGTCCGCCCAAGTAGAGTATTAAATGCTAGACAAGATACAATTTACACCCTATCTGTTTTCTTGGAGTCTATATTGATTCATATCATTGTGTTCCAAAGCGGACCTTTCCTCTCTAGAGAATCACCATAACCATTCTCTTCCTAGGGCCATGTTTTCCAAACCAAGACCACCCTTATGGCCTTACCCTTGGGAATGGACCAATAGGCCAATTTACTTAATGCTCTTTTTATCTTCATCAGTCAAGGGGTCAATCGAAAGATCCTTTAACGATTTTGGAAGCAATACTAACAAGAAAACAGAGATAGAAAGATAATAATGATGATTCAAGTATTTAGCCAAGAGCTGCCTGGAAAAGGGTAATCCTACCTTCCACCACCAACTTTGTAAAACAAGTATTTAGCCACAAGCTCTCTTTTGCAAAAGATTATGATTTGAAGAAGCAATAGAGTAATGGAAAATAGGAATGAACTATATTAAAGAAAGAGACTTTATTCTGGATTTCTAAGTAAAAAAACAAAGTATCACCCAAAAAAAAAAATAGAATTAAAAAAAAAAAAAATAGAAGAAGAATTGCAGACAAAAATGAGATAATAAATAAATAAATGATCCAACAAATTTAGGGATGAGCATGAACAAACTAAGTAGAAGGGTAGAGATATATACCTTCACCCTGGTCATCGGCTTTGAGAGCTATGGAAGCATACTTAACAACACCAATAAGAGTGAGAGTCCAGAACATGATGCTATAGATTCCCAAGTAGTCATCTTCAGTTGGAGATTTCAATATCTCCAAAGGCATTGAAGGGTAAACATAAAGTGGGGAAGTCACAAGCCCTCCAAAAACAACTCCCAATGTCTTGTAAGCAAGTTTCAGATTTTCCCATCTACTCGTTTCCTGAACCAAATATTTTATATATTTATCACAATTAAAAATAATTCACTTTTAAAAGTAATATTCTTTATAAAAAAAATTAATTTTTTTTATAAAAATTAATTTAAAATTTTTAAAAATAAAAAATAAAAAATCTGCTCAAAGTAAACACAAATCTATGCATGTCCATCAAATTTACGCAATCACATGAAGATAGATACATAGACATATAAAGCGAGAAGGGGCAGAGTGTAATCTATATATATAGGAAGCTACAAAAAAACAGTATTACTCGTAGGAATGATACCTTCATCTGAGTGGATGGAATAGTGAGGTGACGCCGTTGAAAGTGATGATTGGGAGTGGCATCATCAAGCACCGCCAGAGTCACCGCCGAGTCAGACGTCCTGAGTTGGCGATCCATTTACATTCGACGGAACAAACACACTTGTTCCGTCGTTTGTGTGTGTGTTTGTACGGCTTCAATTGAATATAGACTCTGGGGGCTACACTCACAGGCGATATTATATATATATATATAATTATATATCACCTACCATGTTTTTCCAAGAAGTATAATGTAGTACTAGTGACACACCATGACCAATCTGTTACATTTATCGAAAGGCTTAGGATCCTTTAAACTAAATTCGTGGGGCCAATTATTGGGGAATGGCTAGTGTATATGACTAGGACACCCACCCAATCACAAATTAAAATCAGTTAAATCAGAAATTAAAATCAATATTATGTTTGAATTAAACTTTTCCAGTTAGATTCAGGTTTGGAATGTGATTCTATAATTCCATTGATGATTTTATTTTTATTTAAATAAAATAAAACTATACTTTCTCTCAAAATCATGTTTATTCTCAAAATCATGTCCAAATAAAAAAAATAAAAATTGTGTTTTAACATTTTCAGTAGTGCTCTTGTTTCTCATAGTTTGATCTTTACGACAATTGGAGGGCGTTTGAGTGAAAATACAGGAAATTATAAGGATAAAAAATATATATAATATAATAAATGTTTGTCCTCTTGTCATGACGGATGACTTTTTAAAAGAAATACAAAATGCGTGCATCGGACTACCTTTTTTTAAGCAACTTTTTTGCTTTATTATTATTATTTTATTATTTTCTTTACTAACCAACAAAGTAGGAAGTGGACTCTTGATTTAGGCCACCACTTTTGACTCATCATATGATTGTGATGCCAAAACAAACGATCGATAGAAAGTGAAAAACTTATCGAATACAAATATATGATTGCTAAACAACTTAGGGCAAATTTCTCAAAACCTCTAAAATTATTAATAAGTGATCATAAAATTTCAATCAGTTTTTAAAATTCCTAATAATATAGTAACGTTATCATGTTATCCCAACTTTTGCAATTGGCCCCGTTTACCCAGCGCGTGGTTAACAAATGCTTTAACAAATTGACTTTTGTGGCCAAAATACCCCTGCTGTCACATGTACCAAATAAGTGATGTGTATTTAAATGTGTTATACCGAAAATACCCCTGAAGTAACATGTGCCAATCAAGTGAAATATATTTATACGCGTTATTCCAAAAATACCCCCAAATTTGTTACAGTTAAAACCCACTGTTTAGTCATCTTCTCTCTCTTCTTTGTCATTCTCTCTCTACTCGCCGCCATCTCCGCACACCCTTCAGGCTTAACTATCATAAACCCACTTTGAACAACAATCATGAAGTTTAGATATACAAACCAATATATAGATTTACACATATAAAAACTAAAACACACACATATACATATATATATATAAACCATTGAATTCTACTTGTCATCATTTCATAATCTGAACCCATTTTTCTCTCTCCACTCCATGAATTTATACATGCTTATATGTGGGTTTGAATCTAACCAATATGATTTCATCACAGGTTGGTGATTTGGAGACCATTATAGTTGACCATATATATTAGAGACACCACCAGACTTCTATAACAGAGCAAAACTAGAGGCACAACCAAATTGGGTCACTAATACAGTAATTGTTGATTGACGGGTCGTGGTTGGCTCATAGATTGCATAACCTAATAGCCACCAAAGATGAGGCCATTGTTGGCTCATAGAAATATAAACACAGTAACACACACAATATTATGTATATAGGCAAAAAATAATGAGAGAGAAAGCCGAAACTAGACCTATAATTTCTTAAATCGGCCATGGCTTCCACAGATGAACACGACAACTTTGTTTTCATGGAACCCTAGCCTCTGTGGGGAGATCATCGACAAAGCATACGGTTCCAGTACTTCCCCGTTCTTCAACTCATCCTCCAGCGTCGCCGCCTCGCCGCCTACGCCTTTTCTCCAAAACGCACAGGGAGTGGTTATGACGCCGTTGGTAGAGTTGGGGTAACATGATAACATTGCTATATTATTGGAGGTTTTAAAAATTGGTTGGGGTTTTATGATCACTTATTAATAGTTTTGGGGGTTTTGAGAAATTTGCCCAACAACTTATTAAAATTAGACAATATAAGACCTGGTCAAATAATGACAAACTTATACAATCACTAGGGATGGCAATGGTGCGGTATGGGGCGGGTTTTCCATTCCCGATCCTAGCCCCCGTTTAATTTTGGTGCCCCCAAAACCGCCCCATAACCTGTTAATTTTTTGCCTCTAATCCCCATAACCGCCCCCGCCCCCGCCCCATAACCGATTATATTTTTAGGGTAACTCATGTTAGCCTCACCAGTCGCCTTCATCTCTATTCTCGTTCTCAACTCTGAACTTGCCCTCTCTCTCTCTCTCTGTAACTGCAAACAACAAAATCTACAAGAATCAGAAGGTGAAAACCCATATATTTCAGTTTATCTATTGTCTGCAAGAATCAAAAGTTTTAAAAAAATATATTATCCATCCACAAATATCTGCAAATCTCTATAGATCCGTGGCCCAACCTCATTCCAAAACCCTAACCTTCATCCTTCCCTTCCTTTACCTGACCTCCACCATCTCCTCCAATGTTCGCCGCCTCTTCCATTTCCAAACCTTAACCCTTCTGCATTTCGGTCTTGACAAATCATCAGCCGAAGCTGAAGCTCCGGCGGCCGGAAAAAGTGATGTTTGCGTTCCGGTACATCAAATCAATAGGGATGTTGATGAAAACTTTGGCGATCGACGGAGAGGATGTGACGTTGAAGACGAATGCGGACAACCATGGATACTGTGATTTTGGTGGAGAGAAATGGATCGTGATTTTGCTAGGGATTAGGGATTTTGACGTTCAAGACATGAATTTTCAAATAGGTTAAATCTTAAGACTCTGTTTGGATTCATTCTGGGTTCTGGGTTTAAAGAGACACGGCTGCCGCAATGAAGTAGGGTTTGAAACTGGTCTCCAATATATATATATATATATATATATATATATATATATATATATTATGAAGGTTAATTTAGTAAATATATTAACATGGCAAGATAAATTAGTAATTTAATATATCAAACGGGGCGGGTATGGGGCAGGGATCTTAGTCCCGCGCCCTCGCCCCGCAACCGGCCGGTTTTTTTTTTTTTTTAACCACCATCCCCTCCCCATTTAAGTAAACGGTTCTCCAAATCCGCTTTAAATGGGGCGGGGGCGGGGCGGTTCCACACCAGGTTGGGGATTTTTGTCACCCCTAACCATCACACACACGACACGACACACGTATATGTCAATTGGACAAAGCCCACTATCGTATTTTTCCCTGCACTCATATCCTTTCTCTATACATTCCACAAACAAAGCGTCTTACCTCATCTCTCATCTCATCAGCCTCATCTATCTATCTATCTATCTATCTATATATATATATATATATATATATATATATATAAATTTGGCCAAAATGCTCATGCAAAAGAATATTTTTATCAAAATAATCAGTAAAGTGTTGGAAATTTTAAAAGGGGGCACTTTGTAACTTTTGAAAGCGCAATGGAATTTTTTGGTAATAAAATGTATTTTGCCACTTTTTGAAATAACATAGGGTTTAGTTCAATTTAGTCTATTAATTTATTGATTAAATACTTGAATAGATGGAAGAATGACGGGGATATATTGAAGTGAGTAGACAATACATAGATCAGATCACAAACACCACAAACTTCTTGGAAGTACCATACAGTGAAAAATAATAGGGGGATCCACAATTTTTCATGCAGACCTCACTTTACCATTTTTTTTTTTTTTTTCATCTTCTTTTTTTAGTTATTTATTTATTAACCTCGCAAGATCCAAATTTAATAAAACAAAATGTACAAAATTGGGTAAATTACTATTTTGGCTCACCTGGCCGTTTTGGGACATTATGAATGCTAAACCTCCCCTGGTCCTGGTCACAGTACGGGATGTGCTTTGCCCATCTCTCCTGTACAAGTTTGAACATTCTTTTTCATAGCAGTAATTCATGGCTGTTTAAAACAATGAATTTGTTTGACATTAGGAAAGTAAAGTCATGGCATTTTGGATGCCGAACCATTTGTGGCCTAAGATTAATAATTCTATGGTGTCATAGTATGTGCTTGTGCCGTGGGTCTTAGTTGTCAGATAATGTTCAACCTCCCACTTCCCACAAGCCTGCCTCCAAATATCATAACATTTTACTTTCCTTTGCTAAGAGTTGTACTTCATGGGTTAGTTATTTTCATCTCTAAAAATTAAACGGTGAGGATTCAAATTTCAATAAGAATAACAGAGACTCGTCTACTCGTTCATGATTGTGTGAGTTTCTTGCTAGAATTTAAAAAAGAAAAAGAAAAAAAGAACTCAGTAGAGAGAAAAAATTTAATACTCCTATATTTTAAATGATTTATTTTAATTAAATTAATTAGTTTAGTTGATTTAATTGGCTTTATTTTTTTATTTAATTGTTATTTAGTTATTTAATTTGTTTTATTTAATTATTTATTTGTTTAATTGATTTACATGTTTATATGACTTTAATTTTGCATCATGTGTAATTAATTATTTTAATTCGTTGTCATATCTATTTAATTTGCAATGGACTGGACTTGATGTTATTTGGGCCATAGGACTTAGTTTTGGATTAGTAGCGAAGAGGGCCTTGATGAATTTAAGGCCTAGGTGTGTATGTGTTACTATGGGCTAGGGATGGCAATAGGGGTGGGTTTGGGCGGGTGTACACTCCCCGCCCTCACAACCGTTTAGAAACTCCGCCCCCGTTCCCGCCCAAAACCGCAAAAATGGGGGGACTTTTCACCCCATCCCCGCCCCCGTTTAACATTTTTACCCCCGCGGGTACCCGCCCCGCCCCATTTAAGACCAAAATTTCTCCTACATTTAATTTTTTTTTCAACTAAAATTATATTATTATTGAACAGATTCATTAAAAATGAAAAATAAATAGTTAATTCAACATTAAAAACATTCTATAACAGCAATTTCATAAAAGATAACATACCAAAACTAGACAAGTCAAACTACATTGTTCCAATGCGAGTATATATATTAAATAAAATAAGGATAATTAATTAATTACCTATTGGGTTACGGGTAGGCGCAGCTGAGAGTAATGATGTGAATGAGAGAGTTAAGAAAACCTAG